ACTGCGCCATTTCTCTTCCTTCAATTTAGTCTGGGCCGTATTGGTTGTCCGGAATTGGGTCTGTTCGAATGGAGAAAGTGAGGTTTCCTTTTGGGCTTTCTAAGCCCAATTTTGTTTTTCAAAATCAAACATTTTTTAAAGCCCGATTTGTTTTTCTAAATACATTATTTACCCTAAAAAAATTAATTGAAATTATGTCCAAAATTTAATGCATTTAAAAATGAAAAGTTTTCAAAAATAAAAGGAAATTATAACATAAATAAATTGAAAAGAATAATAATAGGGAGAATAAAAATTTAATACAAAAATTTAAGACCAATGACATGATTTATGTTTTGTCATTAAATTAATTGATATATATAATATTATATATTTTAAAAAATAAAAAATTAATTATTTAATAATATAAAATTTATTTTTTAATATTTTAAATACTATGATATAAATTATATTATTAATCACATATTTTAATTTCATTTATCATTATTTTAAAAAAAAGTTTATATAGTTAGAGTGCACAATTTAAGCCCATAGCTCTGAGGGGCATTCTAAATGCGAGAAGACCCTCCTAAATTGATATAGATTGTATTTTATGGTACACTGCAATTAAATAAATATATTAATGAAATAATAATAAGCAAGAACATTTCATTCAGATATATGAAACAAGAGAACATCTACTTGTCATCTTCGTTTACAAACATTTCTATCATCTTACTAATTTCAAACCCCATCTGCTAATGAAATCAGACCTCAGTTAAAAATGGAAAAAGTTTGTAAAAACTAATCATTTTTTTTTTCAATAACTCAAACATTGAACCTATCGGAGAAAACAACATTAGAAAAATTAATTTACATATTACCTGTTCTCCCCCTTCCCCCTCCTCCCTTCTTTTTTGTAATTAAAAATATGATTTTCCTTTTTCTTTTTCTTTTTTTCTTTTTTCCAAAAACACACTTTTAACTGCTCTACATGATACTAGTAAAAATTAGTAATAATTTCCCCTTTGTTAATTTAGTGGCTTCCACGGTCAATCATTTCCTTGTACTGATTAAGCGATTCCTGCCTCTGCAACCTCATCTCCTCGTTAAACTTCTTTATAAATGCCTCCACTCGCCAATTCAACTCGTCCTGACTCAGCCACGGTTCCTTTCTCAGCTTCAGTACTAAAGCCGGGGAGGATTTCCCTTGCGCCGATGACGGCTGGAAATTGGTCCGGTCCTTGAACGTTTCCAATTTCTTCACCACCGGCGACGGCTCAGCCAGCGGATCCACGTTCACCTGATTCTCCCATGTGTCCTTGAACGTCTCTGATTTCTTCAGGTGCCTCGACAAGGGCATTGCCTTCTTCTCCGTAATCATTTTCCACGTGTTCTCCATCGTCTCGTGCCGTTTCGGCTTCGCGACTCCCAGCGATCGAAAGCCAAATTTTTTTTTTGGTACATCGATCGAAAGCCTAATTAACAATAAATGGAATTCATATACCAAAAGAATTACTAACGAAATTACCATTTTGTCAATCTTGATTTCGTAATTTATAGGTGCAGGGAAAGGATATTTTAGACTTTTGAGCAGTGCGTCCAGCAGACGCTACTGCTGTCTGTTTTTGAGTTAAGAAAAGGACGTTTCTTCTGAAAGATACAAAAATAAAAAACGCTGCCGGAGAAATCTTGTTTGGTGTGGCTCGTAGGAGCTTGAATTCTGTTCGGACATTATTTATATTTTATGAATTTAAATTTTTTTTTAAAAATTTTATATTTTTAAATATTTTTTTAATCTCAAAAATCTCTTAAACAATAAAAATTCAAAAGTTTTAAATTTAAATTTTTCATAAACTCTTTTTTTACTTACTTTTCACTCACTTTTTTACTTTTTTAAAAACTAAAACTTTATTTTTTCCTCTAATAAAAATTTAAATTTATCACTCATAACAGTACTAAAAATTTAAATTTATCACTCATAAACCACACCAAACATGCTCTTACGGACTCTGACCGGTAAGCTTGTTAAGTCTTTTTTTAATTTGAAATTCGAAACTTAGAAATGAGAGGAAATTAATATCTATATTAGAGAGAAAAGATTAATACCTTCTGTACTGGCTTTATTGACAAGTTTCCGGTGACCGAACCTGGCAGAAACCAGAGGTTTCTCAGCCGGTGAGAGAATCTCCATTGGAATCTCCGACGAATCCATCCTCCTCAGCGGATTCCACTCGGATTTCGAGGTCACCAAGTCATCTCCATTAAGATCTTCAACCACCACATTCTTATCCTCCAAAAAATCACCAGCCTCCACCGCTTCTCTCTGCTTCTGCTCAAACACCACAACGCTCGGCTCCACTGCACCGAAATCTGATCTACTACTCTTCACCTTGTACTCTTAACGCCTGATTCGGATCCGCCGGAATCTTCGGTACAGGCATCTGCTGATGATCCGCCTTCTCATTGTCGCCATCTCTGCGGTGGAACCGCGAGGACGC